ACTTAGAACTATGCCGCCTTTGGTCTGACCTAAGCGTAGTACACAAAATTATCTATTGCAATGTCCTACCCAACAATGACGACTTCAGCTTCAACCGCAGCAATACATGAGCACACAATAGATACAAACTTAAGGCAAACCGATTGCAGGAAATATGACTTCAGCCATAGAGTGGTCAATGCCTAGAATGCACTACCTGAGTCTGTGGTTTCTTCCCCCAAACCCCAAAATTTGCTGACCTCACCCCATTCCTAAGAGGTCTGTAAAGGGACGTGCATAAGCACACCAGCGTGCCAACCTTCCCTGTCCTAATGTTCCCTTTTATTCATATCCATTTCATGTCTTCATAATCATGTTTATACTTATATCTAACACGTGCTTGACAAAATAAATAAATAAATCTTGAACCTAACCAAAACTATGCGCTACTCTTCAAAACATGGGTGGCAACATTTGGGCGGACTACTCTTCATGGATGTGTGAGAAGAGCCACAGCAACACCAAACAAGAAAAGTTGGCTCATATTCATTGGGAGTTTATAGGTCTTGCTTTCTTTCTTTGGGATGAGGGATGGTTTTGTAGGTAGTCATACATTGCTTTTCATTTTGTCAGGAACTCTGGGAGTAGCAAAATTGGGGACAAGTGTGTGCAGTGGGTTCTCTCAAATCATTCCCAAGGCCTAAAACGAATGAGCTGAATCATCTGTAAGCTTGGAAAGATTTCAGTCTGCAACATTTTGAGTGATCCTGCTTGAGAAAGGTCTACTAACTTTGCTTTGAATGTCTGAACTCATCCTGCAAACTCCGCTACTACCGGTGTTTTGAGCCAAGAGGGACTTCACCAACGCTGGAAAGATCGGCGCACAACGTGCCAAACTATTTGCAAAGGTCTCCCTCTTCTGGAGAAGCTATGTAGACGCCTTTTGAGCCGGCTTGTGCTATCCTTATTATCCTTCATTCCTGGGACTGCAACAATGAGTTTGACGTGCATTCTTGGCATTAGGCACCAACAGCTGCTCCAGCCTCATCCAGGCCAAAGGAGGAGGTCCTTTTTGAGGTCCTTCCTGCTTTTAGAAAGTGACTATGTGGAAAGCAGCAGACTAGAACCGTCACCCACCATGGAGAGCCAGCCTTGCAAATCTGGAGATTGCTAAAATGATCGCTTCTTCTAAAGTATGTTGAGCAGGGATGAATATTTTGGAGACCGTCCATCCGCCAAACCATATTCTGATTTTCCAGAAAATATTTGCCCTTTCCTTAAGAGAGGGGCTGGTTTTTGGTTTTTTGCTTGGTTTTCCAGTCTAGCTTGGAACTCTTGGTGTCACCCAAACAAGTCCTAACTAAGGTTGGCTCTGCTTAAGTTTCCACGGTCAAAGAGGTCTAGATGCTACCACCCCAAATTCCATTTTCTGAACCCATGCTTCTTGTTTGCACGTCCCGTGTTGATCAAACCTGTGCTAGAAGCTGTCCATGCAACTAATGAACGACACTGGTTAGATGTAAGCATCTCTTCCAGAAAGAGGACAGCCAAGTCCAAGCAGCAGGTGCTCCAAACAAGACTTGAAGGGAAGGTTTTTGGCTTAATTGTTGGCCTGCATCATTTCTAGTTCGAATAAATTTGCTTTGACATGTGCATGTTTTATGGAAAATGATCTTTCTGTGATCCTCTAGGTGATGAGTTAGTGTTTGCCTTTGAGATCTCTTAGAAGTTTCTCCTAAGGTCTTACAAGAGATCTCGCATATATAAGATCAGCAGTGCAGTTCCATGCATTTTGAAGATGCTTGCCTCCAAAAATATTTAATCCCCAATGGACAAATTGGTCTAATGGTGCTCGAGCTTAGAAATAGCTGCAGAGAAGTCAGAAGCAGGAGCCAGTTGGGTTGAGTTGACTGCTAGGACAGGTTGGACAATTCTCCAGTGGTTTGGAAAGCAAATATTTAATGCAAGGTTGGAATTAAATGAAGAACCAGAAGATTTAGGGAAGCTAAGCAGGAAATGGAATAGCGGTGGAGCAAAACGGAGTCGATCCAAGTCAGCAGGAGACAGTTGGACGGAATGACCTACTGCTATCTTCAAATGCTTCCCCATAAATGAAAAAAAGGGGAAAGATCAAAGGTGGGATCTCCACCTCCAGCCCAATTTATATAACTCTACGCCATGCATGTAATCTCTGCCTTGTGTCAGGCTTAGAACTGCCTGCCTCGCAATTTACGACCTCTCTAGACTTCCACCATCCAAGGCAGGAGGTCTTCAAGAAGAATGTGTGTGTGTGTCCTGGATCACGTTAGGGGAATCATCTCAAGTGAGTTAAGAAAATCCGAGAGGGTGCAGAGTGGGAATCGTTGCGTGGTCCTATAGGCCAATTTAACGCCTGTTCTAGGAACTCACCCAGGGTTAAAACGGAAACAGGATGAGGTCTGAATTTGCATCACCCCAAAGATTTAAAAATAAACCCGTGGCTTCCATACTTGGATAATCAGCGTAGGTGTTGGACTCAACCACCAGAAGAAGAAGAGAAAAGAAACCAAACAGAAACCGGGGAAATATTAGCATGATAAACCTTTATTAGCAAACTGTTCCCTACCATCAAAGACTTCTGGATTTTTTTTTTCTCAACATCCGGTCTTCGGCAAACCCGAAGGGTTACAGCTCCCGAGGCAGTTAAATTTTGCATTGATTTACATGTTCTGAATACTATCTCCAGGCCACCAATGGTAAGGAAAGAAAAGGCTGCCTAGACAAACACGACAAATCATCTGAAGAACAAGGGAGAGGTGGGGTGGGAGGAAACGCCGTCGTTATCACCGATCCGGAGACAAATGCGAGACGAGCGTGCAGGATGGTCCCAACAAAGAACAGAGAGATACTCGACAACATCACAACCACTCATCCGATCAGTCTTTCGAAACACGGAGCAGCTGAGAGCCGATGGGTGGATGACAACTGGGGGCACTGTTTCTTCGGGAGATTGTAGCTTCTCCTCGTGAAAGTTTGGTGAATTCGGGAAGAGGCGCCTTCGGTTGGGGCGCCCGACGGCCTTCCTAGCCGCAGCTTCCCACCTTCTTCAGTGCGTTAACGAAACTGGCACCTCGTGGTGATGTGTTTGCTTGTTTTTGGGTGGTCCCTGAGATTTCCCTCTAGAGTCCAACCAGCCCTTTGCATTATCGAAGAAGAAAAACATCAACACAACCCAAATGCGCGCGGGTAGGTCATCCACCAGCACCAATCCCCGAGGAAGGTTAAGAAGGAGGCCAATCCGAAACTCTTGTGCAAGTGAAAACAGGGTTCTCTCCACCGTCACCATCCCTTTTCCTCCTCATTTGCTCAACTTCTTCCCTCCCGACTCAGTGGTTCAAACGTAAAACGGGGGGCAGCGCTGGCTTACCGAAAGGGGGAGCTTTGTCAGCCACCTTCGGTGAGGCTGCCGCCTCCTCTTCTTCCTTGGGGTGGCGGGAGGGGGATTCCAAGTTTCAACGTGCAAAATAAACATTGTTTGTTTTTTTAATTCAGAACATAAATACAGAGAACCTCTACAAAAATAACAGGAGACGAAGGACACGAACAAACCAACTCTGTGGCGACGAATCTATAAAAATAGTTGGGCAGGCGCGACCCGCCTTCCAAATAAATACAAAATAAATACGTTTCTAAGCAGTTAAAAACAAGAAATGAAATGAGAGAGGCTGGCCTCCGAAAAAAATCAGAGAAATATTTTTTTCTACCCCCTGTTTCCCCAGGAGGGCTGAGCAGCCCCCTTGGGAAAGTCATAAATACGGCGGCTACAATTCCCCCCACCCTCCGTTTTTTTTTTCCTTGGGATAAGAACCTTGCAGGAAAAGGGAATTAAAACAAGGTAGCTCAACCTTTTCCAATTCCCCATGAAGACAACTTGTTTTTCTATGATTAAGCTAACCCTTTTTTTTTTCTTTTTTTGCAAAAAGCTACTTGTTACAACAACAACAACAAAAAATTAGAAAGGCTGTAACCCCAACTCTTCTACTCTAAACCGAAGTGTTGGCATCCGTCTCTGAAGGAACTAAAGAAGACAGAATAGCCACGCGGTTCGAGAGTTTCCCAAAAACGATGCTCCTCGTGAGATAAAGGGGTGGGGGGAGAAGGCTACAACAGGAAGGAGATATTTTATACTCCCCACCCCACCCCAATAATCAGCAGCGAAGACACGCCTGGAAAAGGGGCCTTCCAAAATTAAGTGCATCTCATTTTTGCAGTCTGGCAAAAGGAAAACTACTGACCTCTCCGCTCTGCCTGACCAGCTTTTGAGGAGGGGGGGAGGAGGAGGAGAAGGAGGAGTTGGAGGAGAAGTTGGAGGAGGAGGAGGAGGAGTTGGAGGAGGAGAAGGAGGAGGAGGAGGAGGAGAAGGAGTTGGAGGAGGAGGAGGAGGAGAAGTTGGAGGAGGAGGAGGAGGAAGAGGAGGAGGAGTTGGAGGAGGAAGAGGAGGAAGAGGTGGAGGAGGAGATAAAAGAAACATTCCTCCTCCCTTGAACCTGGTTTTGTTTTGTTTTTTCTTTTCTTTCTTAAATAAAAAAATTTACATTGCAGTGTCAGGATTGTAACGTAAATCGCTCTCGCCCAGCAGAATGTTATGTAAACAGCAAAGATATTTGGGGGGGGGGGGGGAGGGGGGGGGGGGTGGGGGGGGGGGGTTTTTTTTTTTGGCTCTTAGCCATTTCTACCTAAGGCAGGTCTTATTTTGGGGAATTGAAGCCTTGGAAGGGAGATGTGTGGACGGCCCCAACGAGAGAAACCAAGAGGGGAATGATGGATCTATCGCTCCGCTCTGAAGTGGCTTGAGAAAAATCAAGACGTCCCCCAAGTCGTCTTCCGCTCCCTCAGAAGCCACCGAGCGGCTTGAGATGATCTCCTGGCCGAAGGGTAGAGGGGGAGGCTTTCCTGACTTGGTCCTTCGCGCCCCCCACCCCACCCCGGTGCTCCTGACAGCAACACAAAGATAAAAGCCTCACCCACCCACCCCACCCCGCTCTCCCCCAGTTCCCCCACCCCCCACCCCTTCTTCTGGGTCTGGGGGCATCACAGCTTGGTTCGCGCGACTTATTAGTGTCTTCAACCCATTCACAGAATGAAACGGCCGTCCACCCGAGAGCTGCCGCTCCCGGGTTTGGTTTTAAAATGTGTCCCAGAGGCCACTCGGTGGTCATCGCGACTGCACCCCCAGAGTCATCTTCAGGTTCTCGTAGACCACGTAGCTGATGCTGACGGCGGGGATCACCTTCATGAAATTGGGGGCCAGGCCCCTGTAGAGCCCAAAGGCGCCTTCGGTCTTCAGGATGTGCCTGAAGAGGCCCCTCATGGTCACTTCGGGGGCTCCTTCGATTGAGGCTGAAAGAGAAGATACGAGACGGGCGTTGAAGGGTTTGGTTGAGGGTCAACGGGTCCCAGAAAGAACCCTCTCCTTGGTGGTGGTAGCCAGGGGTGGGTTTTTTTAGCAAGGGGCTCTCTGCCCTAATGACTGGCTGGGTGGGCATGTCTAGGTGGTCATGTGACTGGGTGTATGTGGCCTAATTACCTTAAAAAAGATAATACACCCCAAAACATTTATTAAATACTTAAATAAAACACTGGGTGAAACCAGGCTTAATAGCAGTGGCTGTGAGAGGGATCTTGGGAGTCTTAGTGGAATTTCTGGTGAATGACGTGATTCTTATTATTTGAGAATTAATCCCCTCGGAGGCTAGTGGCTAAGTGATCGCATTTTCTCCATGGCTCTCCGATGCAGGCGCTGAGTGGATTGTTTATCTAGCTTGCCACACTTTTACAAGGTGTGAAATGCTCTTGGCTGAACGCCCAGAAGTTCAGTTAAGCCTATTAAGAGCTTTCCCTTGCTGTTTTTCTGAAGTTATTGGGGGCTCTCCAAGCACCGTAGAGTCTTAGGTAGCCCTAAGCCCCCAGCAGCCCATGCCTGGTTGTAGCTTTCTCCAAGAGTTCCTGGGGTGCCATCTTACCTTGAGCCTGCATTCGGGTCCGTACTAAAGCAAGAGGGTAGCTGGCCAACTGCCCACAAGTGCTTGACATGGTGCCACAGGCCAATAGGACGAAGACGCCAGGATCTGCACTGTTCACGGCGTAATGCTGCAACCAGCTGTTTTTCAATGTCTGGAAGGAAAACCATCAACGGTCAACGGAGAGCCAACTCGGTTCAAGAGCCTGGAGCAAATCCATTTGGCATGGGACCTGCTAAGCTTCAGAGCAGCTGGAGCCGAAGACCGCTAGACCTTCTGCTTGGGGGTTTTGAGAGCCACCAACCACCATCTTTAAGAACCTCCCTCCCTCTCTCTCTCTTTCTTTCTTTCTTTCTTTCTTGCCAGGGAGAGGAACCACATCTCTTACCTCGTAAACAGCCAGGTCAATCCCAGCATACGGGATGATCCCCAGCATGTTGGGAATGTAGCCCTTGTAGAAAGCACCTAGTCCTTCTTTGGCAAGGATGTTCTTTGCGCAGTCCAGCATCCCTGTGTACTGCCCGGTTTTACGCAGGGCCATCCGGGTTTTCAGAACCTATGCCAACAAGAGCAAGAAGAATGTCAGAAACCTAAGCAGGAGGGAGACAAGGAACAACAGCATCTGGGTCAGATGCACAGAAGATTTCACCACCAAGGAAAAGCAACGGAGCGGTAGAGGTGCACCAATGTCTCCGATGAAGGCAGCCCTTGAGAATGGCAATGGGGAAGGTTGAATGTTCTCAAACCATCTTCCCCAATCTGGACCTCCCCTTCCAGCCTTCTAGTCCTCATTATTCTTCATAACATGATCAACCATGCTCTTGAAGGCTAGTCCATCTAAGATCAGGGATCTCCAAACTTGAGAACTTCAAGGCTTGTGGACTTCAACTCCCAGAATTCCTCAGCTGACTGAGGAATTCTGGGAGTTGAAGTCCACGAGTCCTACAAATGGCCAAGTGTGGAGACTTGCGATCAAGTTGGCAGCAGGTTGGGATCAGCTTCTTGAGCAAAGAATAGAAGGCAACTCACCTCCATGGGGTAAATGCTGCTCTGTGCAATGGCTCCAGCCAACGAGCCGGCCACCAGCCTCTCGTGAATCCTCAGCACCTCTTGGTCTGTGCCGATGAAGCGTTTGATCTGCCAAGAAAGGTGTCCCATGCTTAGCCTGGAGAAGTCTACACGAGCCGCAGTGGTTAAGAGTACAGTACTGCAGGCTAATTCTACTGACTGCCACCTGCCTGCAATTTGGCAGTTCGAGTCTCACCAGGATCGAGGTTGACTCAGCCTCCCATCCTTCTGAGGTAGGCAAAATGAGGACCCAGATTGTTGGGTGACTCTGTCAACCACTTAGAGAGGGCTGTGAAGTACTGTGAAGCGGTACATAAGTCTAAGTGCTCTATCTATCTATCTATCTATCTATCTATCATTATCTATCCATCATCCATCAATCTATCTCTTATCATTATCATCTATCTATCTATCTATCTATCTATCTATCTATCAATCAATCAATCATTATCTATCCATCATCCATCAATCTATCTCTTATCATTATCATCTATCTATCTATCTATCTATCTATCTATCTATCTATCTATCTATCATTATCTATCCATCATCCATCAATCTCTTATCATTATCATCTATCTATCATTATCTATATTTATTATCTATCCATCATCTATCTGTCTGTCTGCCTGCCTGCCTGCCTGCCTGCCTGCCTGCCTGCCTGCCTGCCTGCCTGCCTGCCTGCCTATCTATCTATCTATCTATCTATCTATCTATCTATCTATCTATCTATCTATCTATCTATCTATCTATCT